ATTTGGTTGGGGCTTTAATTGGCTTACCAAGTTTAAGATTGGACTACAAGTCGGAACACATCTTTCTACTCTCATAAAGAAAAAGTAAATTTATGGGTACATCTCTGAGAAAAACCAGGATAATTATTGCCTTGAATGTTACTTTGTTAGATTCTGTTAGCCAACTCCTAAAATAGATTGTACTAAACAGACAGAAGATGTTTATGGATGCTGCTGAGATATAAATAGATTTCCAATGGCAAACTGCATAATAGGATTTCCATTTTCATAATTTTGAGATAAAGTTCTTAAAAGCCAGAAAAGAAACTCAGAAGCAGTTCAGGTCATTTGTATAAATAATGCTACTGGAAATGCACAGCTTTTAAAATGTTTTAATATTGCTGTTCCTTCTAGAAAAAGAAATGGCATAATAATGAAAGTTGATGTAAAGATTGCAGCTTCGTGGTATAGAACACGCTTTGCATGCAGAGAATTCCAGGTTCAGTCACCAGATTTCTAGACAGAGCTAGCTGATATCCTGAAAATTCATTGCTAATTAGCGTAGAAAGTACTGGATTTTATGGACCAGTGATTTCAGAAGCAGCATTTTATATTTCTATGTTTCTCAACTCCCAAATATGGAACAAGATAGGGAATATACACATATCCGATATGATTCGGAAGCCTGTTCATAAAACTGAACAATTGTGGAAGTTTTGAATTTTGGGGATTCTTGTCATTTCAGAGGCTGAAACAGCTCTCTAGGCTGATGTCATGCTCTTCCCTCTCCAGTATTGGATGGCATATATAAAAAAGTACCATTGGCTGAAGGGTTCTGCCCCTGTGATTCTGGAGAGGTGGAAACCACAGGACACGTTCTTCTTTGTTGCTCCTTTTACAGAGATGCTCGAACCAGATTTATCCTCCCTCTGATTAGCAGATGTCCTGGTCGCTCAGATTCGGCCTATGCCCAGATGCTAAGCATAGACGAACTGCCTTTTATTACAGTGCATCTAGCTGAGTTTTGCGCAGCAGCATGGAAGATCTGCCGGACCCTGATGGGGCCAAGATGTATTCTACAAAATCTTAGATATTTCCATTTTTTTTTTGTAATTTTACATATTATCACATTTTACGTAAATTTTAGATAGCATCACATTTTTCTAATTTTGTATGTTATCACATTTTATGTAATTTTAGACACTGCTTTATAACCTAAACATAGATTGCTCCTTTTGGATTTCACTCATAAATTCTAGTCAAGTTATTTTATAAATGTATTTTAATTTTGTCTTAAATTTTATTTACTGTCTCTTAAGATAGATTTATAAGCACTCACAGAGCACTCATGGACACATTGCTTGTACTGGTCTAAACTGACTAACCGACTGATATGATTCAATGCAGGAGGGATTGGACTTTTTGAGTGCGATACAAACTGTTCACATTAGTTAAAATAAAGCACACTTTGACAACCTCCAGGTTAGATTACTGCAATCTTCCATTGAAAAAGCAACCTCTATCTTCTACCACCAGTGGCCGCCATCAAAATGCTTCCCATCTCAGCTTTTTTCCTTCACTGCCCCAAATGCGTGGAACCCCTGTGTCATGCCACCTTCCTTTATTTCACTGAAATCCTTTCTCAGATTTAACTCACTTTGTCCATTAAGTGTGGCTGACGCTGATGTGAGTGGAGTGCAGAATATCTGGGAGCAGATACTTGATCATCTTTGCTTCATTCCTAGCTGTTTATAAGACAAAGTAGTCAACCATATTTTAGCCTAAGATGTTGTATGAATCCTCCTACCATCTGTTCAGTTCAGTGTGATGTCTGATACAAGAAAAGCTGGTTGGATAGGCATGATTCAATGAAAGAACGGCACATACAACACCTTTACTGCGGAAGCTGCACTGGGTGCCAGTTTGCTTCCGGGTTCAATTCAAAGTGTTGGTTATTACCTTTAAAGGCCTACATGGGTCCAGGTTACCTGAAAGACCGTCTCACCCCATCACATCAACCCGTCCCATCCGGTCAAGCAGAGAAGGCATGTTGCAGACCCTATCAGCAAGAGGATGTCAGCTGCAGGGCCCAGGAGGAGAGCCTTCTCTGCCATTGCCCCCACCCTTTAGAATATTCTCCCCCAAGAGGTGCAGCAAGCCCCTACCCTCCCAGCTTTCCAGAAAGGATTGAAGACCTGGCGCTGCCAGCTTGCGTGGGGTGACAAGAATCTTACCCAATTCTGGGGGTAGCTGGCGCCTTAATGACACTCCCCGAGTTACTGCCAATTGTAACATCTATTCTTGGATTATATTTATTTTCTATTTATTTAGGATTATTTTATACTGTGATTTTCATTGACTTTAACCACTTTGTAAACTGCCCAGAGTCGTTTTTTTAATGAGATGGGCAGTGACGAATTTGATAT